TGATGTATCAGGGTCGCAACGAGTATTAATAAATAATCCAGATACAGATGGATTTAATAGATTAAGCAATAATAATCTATCAAGATTAGATGCCACAAATACAGGCGTTGATGTTTACGGTTTCTTTACTACAATAAATAACGCAGATATTGGGGGAACTCTAACCTGCACGGCATTAATTGAAACATCCGACTTTAAACTGAAAGAGAACATTAAAGAAGTGAATACCAAAGATTGTTATAGTGTAGTTAAATACGTTAAACCGAAAACATTTACTTTTGTTAAGGACGAAGAAAAAAAGAGCAATCTAGGATTTATAGCCGACGATGTGAAAAATGCTAAACTGCCCCCTGAATGGGATAACATAATTTTTTATAATGATGATGGTATGAAACTCTTAGCATACAATAAGATGACAGTTATTTTGTGGGGCGCTTTACAAGAAATCCAAAAAGAAATAACGTCTTTGAAAGGCGAATTAACAAAGTTGAAAAAGAAGATGAAACACGATAGCGATTGAAAATATTTATCTAAATTTCATTATATGGGTTCTACATCTACCAAATCTTCTGCTACTGAAAATATGAAACAAATAAAAGAGTTAGACATTAATGAAAAAACCAGAACAGATATGTTGTTATTTAATACTTTGAAAGATGTTATTGAAAGAGTTGAGAAATTAGAAGAAACAAAAAGCGATAAAATATATTATAAACTACCTGCCATAAACTTGTGCAGTTATTCATTAATATAATTATCAAGTATTACATAAAGAAATATTAAAACTTTTATGTAATAATTGATAACTATGGGATGTATAATAGTCAGAATATTAGATACTAAAAAGTTTGAACTTTATCACAAAATCAAAATCCTTAATAGTGATTTAATTGTAAAGGGAAATACATATATCAAGAACTGTAATTGTTATTGTAACACAAAGGAAGTCTCAAAGAATGGTATTATTAATTATAATGTTGATACACTTATTATGTCGTACTTTAACTGTTCTAAATGTTGTAATATAAGAAGAGCTGTTAATAATCAAACTTACCCCGAAGGAACTTTGGAAAGTAGGGCTGATGAATTGTTAAATAATGTGTTTCTATTACTGACAAGTCTCTGTGAGTATTACGGTTATGAAAATAGTAAAGCCATTTATGATACATTTGTTTTACCGGTTCTTAATAAACTTGATACCGCAATGATTAATAACATTTATTTTAATTATAATGGTGAATTGCATAAAAAGCTACTGAATACGTATAGTAGCAATAGTGTATATAAGTTTAAGAATGAAATTGACTGGTTAATAAGACCATTTATAATGGAATTTTTCTTTGGTCGTATTTGGTTCAATATTATAGATGGCACTGAAAACTATAAAACATTTAAGCACATACTTTGGAATGGGTTTGACACTGAACTGGTTTTATCTAATTTACCAAGTTGATGACAATGTTGTTAATCTAATTCAAAGCACTGTTCAAAGTTAATGAAGAACATATTACTAACATCTTTAGCATTGGTGTTTATGTAGAAGAACGAGTAAGGAGCAAAATTCACGGCTTTCTGATACATTTCATATAACGTGCTTTTATCCACCAAGGCGGAATTCTCTTCTAAAAATGCGTTGACTTCGTTCATATTCTTCAGTCTGAAGATGAATAAAGCACTGGCATTTAATCTAATGATCGGGGCCAATACATTATACTTCTGAGTGGATAAAATGCAAGAGATGGCATTATGACGACCTCTCGTAAATAATCCGTGTAACAAGCTTGAGTATCTTACAAATTTGGGATCGTCGGCGAAGTCGTCCACCACTAACAGAATGCTAAATAAATCCTTTTGTTTATTCTTCTTCTGAAAATCAATTACTTTACGTTGGGTGTCTATGATCTTCTTTAGCGCCACCGGATCGTATTCCTCGTAGTAAAGCTGTTCTTTTTCGGCATCCACCTTCATTACATCGCTTATGTATTTCTTCACTGCCGACCATGTGTCATCCACATGAACACTGGGCGAGAAGATGTATATTCTCTCAAATGATCCTCTGTAGATTTTTAATATCAAGTTCTGTATCAATACTGTTTTACCGCCTGTTGAAGAAGCCACGCATAGCATCCGCGCGGGTAGCTTCGGCATCATATCAAACTTGCTGTTTTTATATTTATATTCGGGTATGTCTATCGGCTCTACTTTAGGTATTTCTTCGCTCATTAACTAATAAGAGAAAATATCTTTTAATGTAATGGAGAAGTATATAGAAACGATAGAGGAAATTGAGGAAATTGAGAAAGTTGTAATACAAGACACCAAGCTTAAAAGGTGTTGAAGACACCAAGCTTAAAAGGTGTTGCACAGCTTCTTTAGAATTGCTTAAAGCAGTTTTTGAGTATTTAAAAAAATCTAAGAAAGGTTAATGAACGACAATCATAGGGACACTAACGAAGGTGGCTTCCACTTGAACACGGATGGGTTAAACTGCTTACCTTGCAAATGTAGAAAGAAAACGTTTCACAAAGAAACTAAGATAAACCATGAAGGTAAAACAATAATTGAAGATAGGAGCAGTTGGAAGATGGGGAGAGGAATAACACCCGATGAAAACGACATCTTTAAAACAAACTCACAAGATAATGAAGGTGTTGATACAATTACCACCGGATGGGGATCAAGAAAGCCTACCCCAGAAGAGAGGCTAGAAAAAGTGGAAGAGGATGTTGAAAGGATAGACAAAGATGTAACTATTTTGAAGAATAATTTAAATATGATGGATTAAAAAATCTAGCTTATATTGACAGTGTACAGTATAGTTCCCCTGCCCAGACATCTAATCTAGAAGAAGATCAGGTCCCATTGCTCCCGTGTGATGAACAGTTTCATAAGCACACCATAAGAGTGTGGAAATGATATGAATTCGTTCTTAGTTTCATTAAATCTTAAGGTAAAAATCTTTTTCATAATATCTCATTATGAAAAAATATTTATAATTATAATAATGCCAATAACAGTAAATAAGATATCAGTTGATTTTGATCCATATACTGAAACAAATAATGTTGTTACTAGGAAGTGTTATCGTTGTAAGCAAGACAAAAATATTGATTGTTTTAAGCGTCGCTATTATGCTGGTAAGCATTCTTATTATTATGTTAAATACATTGCGACTTGTTCTGAATGCTTGGATAAGCCTGTCAAAGAAACTATCCGGTAAATCTTAAGAAAAATATTTCTGAAGAAAATGACCTAAAGAAATAACGCCTATATATATTATCAGGGAAATGTTCAATCAAAAAGAACAGGATGAAATACTAAATAACTTCTTGGATGTTGTCAAGGTTCACGACTACTTCAGGGAACTCAAGGAAGAGCGACGGAATTGTAAATGTAAAGATTGTAAGAAACACGAACGTTATTCCACTCTGTATGAATTGTCACTACCAGAAAATATTATTAATAATATTTACGGCTTCGCTTATTGTTGCCGTAGTTGTCAAAAACGCCAGTTCAAGAAGGAGAGGATAGAGGGAATTATCAGACGTAATATACTACATGTATATGATGTAGATAGACTTATTTTCTCAATTAAACATGACTTTCCCATTTATGACAGGGTGAAAAATCTCCGGTCAAGAAATTGTCAAAAAGAAGATATACAGTGTTCAAATGGATATATGAGGATTGGATGAAAATTAAAAATATTATTTAATATTCGTGATAAGATAAACGATTTTGGCTTTAAACCAGATGTATTCATTAGGGACTCTAATAAAATTGTTGGGACTCTTATGAATAAACCTGAGTTTGTCTTAATGGATTAAACAACCTAACCAGCATAGTTATAGTGTAATTATAATACATAAGCAGTTATATATTATAATTACAGTGTTGTTACAACCCTTAACCCTAAACCCTGAACCAAATTCTATGAGGAACCCCTTGCCCAGTTTGGGTAATAATGCCACCTTAGAGAATATGGATGGGGTAATTGGTTATTCCTATACTTGTGTTGACAATGGGGTAGTAGTAGTGATATATCGGTGAAGTGTAGGGGGGAGTATAGGAATGATCATCTAATGGGGGAAGTAGTAGTGATATATCGGTGAAGTGTAGGGGGGACCCTAGGAATTCGTAAAAATGATCATCTAATTGGTTGGCGGTGGCATTATTACCCAAACTGGGCAAGGTCTACTCTGACTGAATTTTGGGGCTTTAAAACATGACCCTACACCCTAAACTATAAAAAACTAAACCCAACACCCGGATGGGTGGCTGTCAAAATTATGGTCCCGTTTGGGGTCCTTAATATAGTCAGGCACCTATTCTTTAGGGTACCCAAGAGGGGGGCATAGTTTTGACAATTACCCAGATATATTCCGACTATAGTTCAAGAGCTCAACCTTTCCCCAGGGAACTCAGCAGCTTGGCTCAGGGTTCAGGTAAGGGTTAATGGTTTAGGGGTTAGGGGTTTTCGGGTTTAGGGGTTTGGGGGTTTGGGGTTTGGGGGTTTAGGGTTAAGGGGGTTTTGGGTGTAGGGTTTAGGGTTTAGGGGTTTAGGGGTGTAGGGTTTAAGGGTTTACGGGTTTGGGATTCAGGGGTTTATGGGGTTGGGGGTTTAGGAGGGTTTAGGGTTACTTTAAATTTAATCCCCAATCCCCAAGCGAAGGGCTTCAAGGTCCAGTTGTAAGCTTAGAAGTGAAACACCCACAAGACAGGTTTCTTCGTTTGATTGGGTAAGGATTACGGTCTACGGTTTGGCATCAGCAGTCCTACAGGGTAAAAGTACCATTACAATAGGTTGGCCCCCAAAGTATATACTATACCATTACTTGGACCCTTCGAAAGTTCGATGTTCAGGGTAACACTTCTGCAAGAAACATACGAATATTTACGCTTTGACAAGCCCCCACCCACGCAGGATTAATCTGTGAAGTTGAACGCATATTGGTTTCGGGTAGTTGACCTTAGGCCGTGTACTTGGTCAGACAACCAAGGCAAACTTCTCCAGTATCAACGACTACATGCATGAAAGACTGGGAAACAGCAACTATGCTGCAGTATCCATCCCGGAACGTCGCTGGAAAGTTCCGGGTCTTCACGGCTCAAGAGGCGGATACGACTTCGACATATACCCGTGCGATGAGATCTGTATGACTGGCCCTAGTGACAGAAACAAGTTGCTGATGCACACGGAGCGCGTGAACGAGTACAACGTGCATTGGATCCGGGTACCACCGCAGGATTCTTCGAGTACCTTAACACCACCACCCAGCGAGATTCGATTGGTGCATTTTCGGTTGGTCCACCTTCTCAAACCCGAAAATATACTGGTTTGCCCGGAGGGCTTCGTGGGCCCTCAATTCAACTCCAGTTTTGCCACATTCGTGAAGGAGAGGTGCCCAAGCATCTTACCGCAACTGCCCAACTACACCGAGCTACCACCGTTTTGGCGCCGCCGGCGAGCACCGCGGATGCTCCTGGGCCCGTAAGTATGTGAAGAGCTGTTGTTGCGTACTAGCGAAAATGGCTGCGCGGAAGACAGTTCCATGGCACGTAGTTCGTCAGCAAGTAGGTTGAGCTGGGTGATGCACTAAAGCTAAAATTTGTGATTATGCTACGGTAACTCTTGATAGCTGCTCGACTGAATCCCTCGGCCGTTCAAGTAAGATTTGTAGGTTATGCATACCTGTAGCCCAAAGCACGTACCTTCTTAGGGACATGCTGAATAGAGCACCCTGCAGATGTATAGGTCTGTTTAGCGTTCAGGGAAACTCACCCTAAGCACCGAACACCTGCCCTACAGAATCCCTCTTGTTCTCGCCGGTGATGGAACGGTGATGGTCACCCCAAACCCCGAAGCCAATTTTCCCCACCGAAACCTTAACCCACCTAATGAATTCAGGAGCATCGACAAAAAGCCCTTACCTAAACCCTAAACCCAACCCCCTAAACCCTAAACTCTCAACCCTTACCCAAACCCTAAACCCTAAACCCTCAACCCTTACCCAAACCCTAAACCCTAAACCCTCAACCCTTACCCAAACCCTGAACCCTAAACCCTAAACCCCGAGAGCTCCGAGCCGGACTCCTCCTTCTTCGGGGCTGGGCATGTCAGAATGGGGGCTTCTTCGATCGTTAGGCTAGTGGCTTAGTAGCTGAGTGCATACACTTTACACTTTTTGGGATAATATTACCCACTATAAAGCCACAAGTGTACGCTTTTTGGGGCCTTTGAACTCAGCAAGTAAGGTGGCTTCTCTCTGAAATGGGGCTGGTGGATTAGGATCCAGGGTGCAGGATTTCAAGTTGGCTTAAGGTTTGGGTCATGATGTTTGAAAAGATGTTGCTCACGTTCTTTACACAGGCACATCAACCGAGTATGGGCACTAAACCCTAAAGCCCGCAAGCCCTATAAGCCTCAACCCTGAAGCCCTACGATTAGCCTCAACTCTTAACTAATTCAGCATATAGCCCTCGACTGGGGGCGCTCTCTGGTGTGCCAGGTGCACCTGGGAGCTGTGTATCGGATGCGGAGTGGAAAATCAATCCGTTCCTTTTCTTCCGTCTGCGGTGGTAGATTCGCCCATATATACCCAAAGGGTCCAAAGTACCGATATAGTAGAATGTAGGGTTTCTATATCAGGAATTACTATTAAGATTTGGGGAAGTATTCCCCATAACAGTACATAGGACCCTCTGGGACAGTCCGCATTGTACCCTCTACAGCATCGGATCCTACATATGTAGCTGGTTAAGCTGATTAGTTGAGCTACACGGGACACGGAAGATAAACGCTAAAATCCTGCATGCCTCAGAAATTCGACTTTGGTTTTGTGAAGAGCAGACTCTCGGGTTCGGGGTTTTAGGGTTTCAGTTTGAGGGTTTGCCTTAGCCCGGAGTAACCCGCCTTTTTATGATTCTTACAAGGACATCATATTACGGAACCCCCAAAAGGTAGGTTATTGAGGGTCAAGGTAGGGTTTATAGTAGAAGCCAGAAAGTTGGAACATGGATTTCGGAGGATTAGTGCTAGGATCCCTTATACATTACCTTAAGGGCATGGGCATAATGATGTTCAACTTTCTGGCTTCTACTGTAGACCCCCACCGAGTTGTTAAGTCCGGTCTTTCGAGGGCCTCCTTCGGTTAGATGGGGGATTTAGGGTTTAGTGTCTACCCTAAACTGCCAAACCCTACTTTTTTTGTAGGGTTCTTATTATAAACCCTAAAATGGAATTTATGGGGACCCTACAAAAAGGTAGGTTTTGGCAGATTAAGGTAGGGTTTGGGGTCTAGGGTTTTTGGTTTAGGGTTTAGGGTTTGGGCTTTTCTATGTTTAAGGTAGGGCTGGGGTTTAGGGCTCAGGGTTTAGGGGTTTCGAATCAAAGGCTCCGAGCCTTTAGGTTCAGATTTTCGCTCGCTGGGTGCACCTCAACCCGGGAGAGCCTACCCTTTTAAAGACTTGCATACCCCAAGAAGGTAGGTGATTCAGGGTTAAGGGTTAAGGCAGTGTTTATGCCATGGTCGTGTTGTTTTATGTTGCTTGTGGCTCGCGCGGCGGATGGTGAGGCAGAGTGTACATGCTATTGTCGCCCCTAGGCAGTGGCTCATCCCTCCCCACGAGCCCAAACACTAGACTAACCCCATGAACCCTAATCTCTAACCCCTAGACAAACCCTAATCTCCGCATCCTACGCGAAGTGAATGAGTGCCTGGCTACGCATCTGCTAAACCACCCAAACATTTGATGTCTATGTTGTCTCGCAGATATGAAGCCCTTCAAACCCGAAACATCGCTGAAGGGATCAAGCAAACAGGAAGCTTGGCAAATGAGAGGTTGTTGCTCATACAACACTCTCAGTACACCCTAACCCCGAAACCATAGGCCCCTGCAGCTTTACCTAAGCACCCCTGGTGGGTTATCATCCGCCTCTCTCTTTTCTGCGGGCTTCTGTACAGCACCCGACCCCAGGCAGGGTGTCGGGTTTGAACTTTTTGAGGCTGATGGTCTTCGAGTCCATACTTATGTTAGGGGTTCAGGGGTTCAGGATTTAGGGTGTGGGAGTCTTAGGGTTTTTAAGGAGTCTAAGGGTTTTAAGGAGTCTAAGGGTTTTACGGAGTCTTTGGGTTTTAAGGAGTCTTTGGGTTTGCTGCGGGTGGAAATCAGGATTCCTATAAGAGTGGCCCCTGTTTCTTCTTTAATCTTTGGGAGATTGTACAGGTGACCGTCGTTTGGAGGACTACCCAATCTGCATCTGCATAATACCGATATACTTAGACAGAGGTTGTTGATGTTGCGTGAGTGTTTGTGAGGTTGCTTGTGTGTTGGCCTGCGTTCATTCTGGTAATGAGTATTCAGTACTGGTCGTGGTTGTGGTGGTGGTGGTGGTGGTGGTGGTGGTCGTCATGGTGGTTACAATAGTCGCAGTCGGCATAGTAGTCGTCGTACTAGTCATTTTAGTAGTAGCAGTACTAGTAGTAGTAGTAGTAGTAGTAGTAGTAGTAGCAGCAGCAGCAGCAGCAGCAGGAGTAGTAGTAGTAGTATCATCATCACACTCGCTGCGGACGGTGAGGTCGCATTGCGATGACTCGAGCGGGGTCACCCGGCGCACTGTGGCGCTCGATCTCGATTGGATCGACTCAGCTAACTACGTAGCTACGTTGCCCCGAAGGGCCTATGCGGAAGTTGCAGCACTCCTCATTCGGTATATGAGGATATAACTAGAGTTGGATAGAGCTTGTGGGAGGACCGATTGTGCAGCACTGTTGTCATCGGTATAGTGCCAAGGGCCTGCAACACCGGAACGAGGTTTGAGTGCAGCACGGTAGTGCCCATTGACCATGGTGGGTCCGATATGCTGGACAATCGCCTGAAGCTGATACGTTCTCCATATTATGCCTTCGGAGGAGGAGGGAGTCCATTGTGAGAAAAGGACTTCAGTATCAGCATCTATGCGATGGTCACGTTTAGATGCAATGCCCTGTTCATTGCAAAAGCGGTTTAACTGTACAGCCACCGCTTCAGTACCTGCAATCAGGGCGTGGCGACGTTTCTGCGAATGCCAGCGATTGGTGCAGGACTGGGCTGAGGTGGCAACAATGTCTGAGGCATCTTGCATTCCGGAAAGAATAAGTGGGCAGACCCCGCCTTCATCCTGAAGCATGTGGCTGTCGTCAAAGGACTGCCAGAGGCCCTGAAAACAGGGTGCATTGAGGACCTGGTGCAAGTGGAGTAAGAAGTCCGCGGCATCATGTTGCCTGGCTGGGTGGTGCCAGCGCCGCATTGCCTGCCTCCATGGTAGGAGGGACCAGAGTGTCACTTGTGGTTGTTTGCGCGCCTGTGCAATGAAGCTCTTCAGCGGTTCCCGGCCCAGTACCTGATAAGAGGAGGGGGTTTGGGACACAATCCAAAGATAGGTGATGAGGCAGGCGTGGGAGTAACAGTAGTTGGAGGGATTGCGGAGTTGCAATGTCAGGAGGAGTGCTGAGGTCTCGGCGGCTGTCTCGGCATGGGGATGTTGATGGACTGAAGAAGGGTCTGGAGCTGCTGGGCCAGGGCTGATCTCTGGAGGCGATCCGGGCGGAGGGTGCAACCGATCATCAGGAGAGAGGAGTTGTGGGAGAGGAGCTGGAGCAACTCCCAGAAGCGAGCTGTATTCTCGCCCCTCCAACCCACTTCCAGTAGCCAGGTCACTGTGCTGCCTTCCATTTTCTCCTCCAGGTGGCGGGTAGCATGGAACCTGTTGAGCAGTTGCGGTTGTACACTCAGCGTCGCCAGCTCCTTGGCTATCTCCACCACCTTCTGTGCCGTGAGCGGTTCTCGGTCTGGAATGGGCTGCATCACGCCTTCCTTGTTGTTCCACTTGCGATATCCGAATCCTGTATTCGGGTTGTACAGCTCCATTTGGATCGCCTGCTCGCGGGCGTCCTCCTGATCGATCACCTTCTAGGCACGCTGGGACAGCTCGAGCATCAGTTTCTGCCATAGGATGATGCGCATCGGGTTGGTGATGGAGTCCGGGTCGTTCCACCGCATTTCGTGCCATCCCTGGGCTGTGGCGAACAGCTTGGGGAGGACTGTGCCCGGTGGCTGGGTCGTGAGGAAGAGGATCCACGTTGTGGATTGTTGCAGGACTGAGAGAGCGTCCTCGTGCCTCATGAGGAGTCTGGCCATGGTGTGGCACATGAGAGTTAGGTCGGGGCCGGAAGTAGGCCCGTAACCCTGTCCCTGGCGCTGCCAGGGAGGCTGGGGGTGGTATCCGGAGGGGCGACCTCCCTGACGCCTTGGTGGGCTGCGTTGGTGTGGGGGGCGAGTGGCGGCGTTCTGTTGGCCCTGTGGTCCGCGGCCCGATGAGCCCTTCCCCTTGCCTGGCTGGGTGGCTCCTTTGCTGTTGTCCCGCTGCCATTTCGAGGGCCTGTCGAATTTTATGATTGTTGGGGATTCGAGGGATCCGGCATGCCTCCCTATAAT